GGGGGGGGGGGGGGGTGGTGGTGTTGTGGGGCAGCAGCGGAGCGGAGAACTATCGATGAAAGGGGTTAAGGCTATCCTCTGTAGTCGTAAACACCAGGCGTGAATTCGGAATGCATAATTCGACCTGCCTAGGTGCTGTGGGTCTGCGGCCAATCTCAAACCCAGTCTTCAGGAATCGCCGCATGAACCTTTTCTTTGCAAAACATCTAAACTTCTAAACCCAAACACAGTCTACACCAAATCCCAGAAAATAATCTCAACTCAATCACAACTGCCAACCCCACCAACATCTGGAATATTCTCCCCAACTAAACCGAAACGTCTCCACAATCCCTAAGCATAAAATTCCTTTCTTTCTGACCACTCAGGCATATTAACGGCGAAGGCTGGGAGTCCTGCTCGTTTGCCTGATGATGCAAACGGAGTCAGGTTGTCACGGTTGTGAGTTTTTCGTTGAACTTCGGCACTTGGTCCGAGTTGTGGTCAGAAGTCAGCTTTGGTTGAGATCGGAATTGAATTGCAAGCCAAGTGTGGATTTGGGGAGGTGGCTTTCTGTCTGCGATTGCAACACCGTTGAGTCCGGTAAGTGTGCTGGCTACCGGGCAATTGACACCCGCGCTGCTGGTTTGGTCGGTTGGTTCCTGGTTTCGGAAAGCATGTTCAGGACATCAGGTCCGGGGTCAGGCATCGCTTGCCGTAAGTCGGTCACACATCCCTGAAAGCTCCATCCCGAGGCACATGAACGCCAGCAAGCGCAGTACCCGATTCTTGGTCTCAACCTGGCCCAGCTGAAGGGGATCGCTGCACGCCACGAACAATCGATGAGCACAGCATTGGGATCCTGCCTCGACGAAGTTTCGCCAGAAAGCCTCCCAAAGCGATTGCGGGGCTCAGGGATGCAAAGGGCAAGCATGGGAACGCCATGTAGTCTTCTTCGCACCACTATCACATGCGCAACCGCCTTCAGAGAGTCTGTCACTTCTGTTTCGGGCTTCAAGGCTCGACCTGGACAAGGACGCACTTCAAAAAAACTGAATTTATTCCAAGCTCCATAACTGCCTGTCAACGCCAGGGGCATGGGTGAAGGACGCGACAGGTCTGCACCTTGGCAGGCACCAACCTCTGCACCCAGGGCTGAAGCACCGTGCTTTCTTGCCTCCTACTGTAGGTGCCGGGCACAGGAGTGGCCTGTGCTGCGACAGCAGAATCCAAAATTTGCACGGCCAGCCCTCCGAATGGGAAGTACTAGCATAACATATCCGCACTTCCTGTTCTTCTTCCGGGATGCTCGCTTCACTTCACTTCACTTCACTCACGGGGTCCAGAGGGCGGCTGAAGCCGTGAAAGGTGCGCCCCTGTTGGCGGGCCTTGTGGGAAGGGCGTGAGAAAACAGCTCGGCAAAAAATATGGTTTGCTCGCTCTTTGCTTTGCTTTGCTAGGGGTTAGAGTCAGGAGGATTAAGGGGGGTTTGCTCGCTCTCTCTCTCTCTCTCTGTCTCTCTCTCTCTCTCTCTCTATCTTTTTCTTTCGCCAGGGCTTTGGAGTAGGGATTTAACTCCCTCTCTTTCTCTCTTTCTCTCTCTCTCTCTCTCTCTCTCTCTCTCTCTCTTTCATCAGGGCTAGGGGCAAGAGAGGC